TAGGATTAAACAATGAGAGTGTCAGTTCATTCATAACCATAGTTGCTACCTTGACAAAATATAACATAGAGCTAGATTGTATCTTTACGATTTGCCTTGTGTAAGAGGTGGTGCATAGCTGAGCTTCCCAAGGAGTAGATGAGGGAGCAAATTGCAACTCTTCACTGTGAGAGTCATAATTTATGCCCTGGCTCTCTCCTTGCTCCATTGGGATAGTAATCTGCTATTGATTGATGCTGATAGTTCCATTTGCCAGGTTGTTTGGGGATGCAGAGGTGGGAAAGAGGGGAGCCAAGTCTTCTCTCCATCCACTTGCTTTGGAGGTGAATTAGCAGATTTGTGGAGGCAGCCCTCTCCCCGGCACTGTGACTTGTAATGCTAATGGCCCATACAAGGGAGACAGGAGTTGCCTTCCACCTCTTGAGTCAGTTGCAGGAGTTCAGAGAGCATGATCTTACCCCTATAATCTTGGGTTGAGGGTGCTGTCTGTAGTGTATGAATGATGCTGGGGCTCTCTGGGGAACAATAGCATGTAATAATAAACGACAGTATTGTAACACATCTGCACAGTTAAAGTTGCATAGGCTACTTTAACTGTCATTTTCTGAGTTATGTGTGTTCTAATCAGTTTCATTTCTATTCTCCCTTCACTGAAGTTCCCTTTTCCTTGCTTCCTCTGCTGGCTCTACCAACTCTTTCAGTAGTTCAGGAAAAGTGGGGACCTCATGGGAGGGAGAAAGAATGGGACATGCAAAGGAGAAGGGAAAGTGATAAACATCAAGGGTGGGAGGTGAGAAGGGAAATTGAGAGAGGGGAAGAATAAAGGGAGAGGGAGAGAAAGTTCACAGATGGGAGGATAAAGAGGGAATGGGCTTTTATGCTAGGCTGGTTTCAGTGAGACATCATATTGTCTCTTAAGGAGACTGGTATCTGACCAGAATCACCATATGGTTAAACCCTTCCTCTTTGTTCTACTTGATATGCCATATCCAGTCTCTTCAGCAATAACTGTAATAAGCGATCACATTCTGGCACCTCCACCCTGTATTGTTGCAGTAGAACTCCTATCCCCATTCTGCTGTCCTGGGTCCCAGTTCTCCACAATTAGAAGTCATATTCTACAGGGAAAGAATTGGGACCAACTGGTGCAAAGTCTAGGTAGGAGTTCTCTTGGGGTCTCATATTCATTTCTCATAGGGCTGCCTCTTAAATCTTAAGACCTGGCATGGAGTGTACTTATTCAACATAATTGCAAAATAGTAGAGCCATTAGCTTGATTTTCCTCCTGCACATTCATTCAGCTCATTTCTGCCAGTAATGTCCTCCCTCTTCTCCACCAAATAAAATTCTGACCCCCAAAATAGTATTACCCTGAACTGAACTTGCTGCTTCATTTCTGCTCTCTAGCTCATAAGGATTTCTGTTTCTGAATTTGAACTCTTACTTTTAGTCCTTAGGAATTACTTCCCCTCTGTCTCCAGTCCCCCTCTCTCACAATGTACATTTTAAAATAATATATACTTAGGCTTTTAAAAGGGGCTATTGTCAATGCATGATAATTACAATATGGATTTGAAGATTTACTAACTGTATGAAATCAAAAAATCAGTCAAGGGGAAAAAGTCAAATAACATCTGAAAGGAAAAGAAGAATGTCACGCTGCAGTGAATATTATTTAACTGTTAAAGTATGATTAGTAAGAAATGCACTCTTAAGAATTACTTACACAGAGTTACTGCATCCTTAGCTATGGAGAAAAATGAGTAGACAAACATTCCTTTTTCTTTGCCCATTAACTTGTACTGCTTGCTTTATGAAACATTTGGTTGAACTGCTACATGAGAGAGGAAACAAAGCTATGTCTTATCTCATTGTTTGAGCAATTAAAGGTCTGCCATTCAATAACTTTTTTGGTTTTCAAAAATGCACTTGAGAAATTTAAAAATCAGTTATGGCCATTAGCAAATATTCTTGGCCTTTAGAAATATCTATGTATATGATAATGCCTTCATTTACTTATCATATAGTTTAAACTCTCTTTTTAGATTCTTGTCTTCTAAAATCTTAAGAATTGGTGGAAGCACCAATTACATAGCAATAGGAACCATCAGCCTGAATCCATGTTGTAGCTATTACATTTAAAGAATTTATCAAACTAAACTAAAGCATACAGATTATAGCCAATTTAAAAAAATACAAAAATCATTATGTAAATTCATTTAACACTACCACCTCTTAATAATGTAGTATCACTACTCATGTTTTTTACTTAAAAATTAGTTTAAGTAAAGGAGAGCATTTGTCTTTCCTTGGTGTGGTGAATTTGTTTCCCTCACTGTGAAGTGCAGAGCTTTCTCCAGTTTCTGATAACCCAGTGGGTTTGAATATCTTGAAAATAGCCTAAAAGCTTTTATTAATTTAGGTACAAAGTACTTGAGCTTCTGCTTGTGGGGCAGGTTCTTCTCCTTCATGGAAACTTTCTAAGGAACTCTCTCCCCTGAGGATGTATGCTGGAGACCATCAGTGGCAGTCTTTTAGACCTGGTCACTCAAAAGCCAATATGGCCATTTTTGCTTCCTTTTGTCACTGGTCCTTTTGGATTTTTTGCCTCTTTTGTTGACTGTGTTTATTTTGCCTCACCGACTTTCTAGTTTAATTTGTATTTTTTATTATTCTTAACCTCAGCTCTTTTGTTTATCATTAATGGGGCCAAAAGGCTGGCCTGTGCTCAGGGCCGGCTCTACCATTTTTGCCGGCGAAGCAAAAAAAAAAAAAAAAAAAAGACTGCCTGGACTGTGCTGCCCCAGGAATGGATGAAATGCTGCCCCTTAGCATGTGCTGCCCCAGGCACATGCTTCCTCCGCTGGTGCGTGGAGCCGGTCCTGCCTGTGCTAGCCCTTATAAGCCCCCTCTAACTAATCACAGCAGCATCCCAGATACTATAGTCTGAGGGTTCAGCAGCTTTTTCATAGGGTAGATAACATTTTAATAGAGACACCTTTATTGACTACTTCCCTTTCCTATTTGATCATGCAATATTACTGTGGAAATTGTCAGTTACTTACATGGAAAAGCAACTAGCGTTTAGTGTTGTTGTTTTTTTTTGTTTGTTTTTTTTAAAAACAGACAGTTAAGTGCTCTTTTGCTCTTCATTTCATCTCTTGCACAATTTGTTTTGTTCCTGTCTCCTGCCCTGCTCCTCTGTCCATGCATCTTTGTTGCCTGCTCCCCTTCTTGTCCATTGCTTTTTATATGATTCTATGCTGCCTTTTCTTCCTTTCGTTCTGTAGATGCTTTCCTTGGTTCCCTTGCTTGGTTCCTTTCTCCCCTGGAATTTCCTCTGCTACTGGTGGTTAACCCTTTTCAGAGGGCAACTTCTGTTTCCTCTCTCCCTCTTATGCAGCAGAGAAACCAAAGCTGGCTTCTGCGCATTCTCTCCATCAAGTTATACAGGTCCATAGAGCCTCTCTTTGCTGGAAACGAAAAGGGCAGCAGCATGTGACAAGCCAGCAAGTGCTCTGCAAATGTCAGTGATCCATGGACCGTAGTTTGGGAACCCCTGCAGTTTTATCAGATGGATCCTTGAAAAAATAAGATTTCAAATAAACATTTTCTGGGCTCTCTATCGTATCCCATTTTCTCAGGGATTCTGGAGAAGGCACTAGAAGGGTAAGGTCAAGGTGTCCTAAAAGAAAATAAACTGTACCAGTAGATGCAGATTACATGGTTCACGCAGCAACCCAAACCCCAGTAAAACAACCATAGGTAAGGGATATAGGTTGGTAGCAATACATATTTTGTGAAATGTTCATGGTAGAATTTTGCATGCTCCTATATGTATTTTTGCCATGTTTTGTTAATTTTGGGGGGTTATGCCTTTGTATATGTTTTTTGCAATGGTGAATCTAATGTGTTTTCATTGTTGCCATGTTAATATTGAGTTTGGTAATTTTTAAGTTCACCTTACAATCCATGAACACAAAAGGATTATGAAAAGGGCGAAATTAATTACTATTTCAGTTTGAGACACAAGTGAGTGTTTTGAAACTGAAATGTGCCTTATTTTTAGGAGTTCTGATTACAAAACCATGAAGGGTTTAAATTTTCATACATAACACTAAATTAAAACTGAGGTTTTGTAAATAATTCAGATACCACAGTGAGTGCATTATAAATACCTATAGAGGGTCAATAGAACTACACCATCATTTCTCCTCTCTCTATCTTACATGATTTAGCCCTAATCCTTAGTTTTAGGCAGATTAGTAGTCCCATTTAAGACAATGGGATTATTCATATGCATAAAGTCAAGCATGAGCCTAAGTGTTTGCAAAGAGGCATTTGGCATATGTTTCCAAGAACTCTGTGATTGCAACTGAAAATATGCCATACATTTAACACTGCACATAAATCTGGAAAATAATTGCAGTTAGATTTCTATGTGAAATAAAATAGTCAAACAGTAAAGAGGTAGTAATATGGATGATCTGAAAACAGATTCCATGAATCTCTCACATTCGCTGAACAATTTTCTTTGCATAGTGCAGAATACCAACAATATTTCAAAATCTATCATGGTGTGTCCTAAATGTTAAAATATAAACACAGGCACACAAATATACATGTTTAAAATTCTTGCCTGCTTTTTGCATGTTTTGCAGGTGGTGTACAGAGTGCCAAATTAGAGCCTTATCCAAATCATTTGGAATAAATAGTAGGTTAAGATTTAACATGGCATTAGTAGAGATCCGTGAGAGTAACAGAATTGGAAATAAGCTCTATCAAATTAGCAAGGAACTTCAGTATCTGGCATGCTGAGTGTACCTACTAGGGTTTTTAATTGCAATCTGCGTTACTTTCCCTATTCATTAAAATCATCAGTAATATAAATCAAGCTACAGTAGGAGTGGGTTCTTGGAGAACACCTAGATTTCCTACATTGAATCTGTTTCTTATTTCCATCACACAGTTTTAATGTTTCTTTTTTTTCTTATTCATAGGGATGCTGGCGAAAGATCATTGTGGATGATACTATGCCTTTCAACGAAGAGAATAATTTGTTGCTTCCAGCTACAACCCGTCAAACTGAACTTTGGCCACTATTGCTGGCCAAAGCAATAATTAAGCTGGCGAACACTGAGTATGTTTAGTGAGCTCTCTATCAGTTTGTTCTATAAAATTAGATGGAATTAATAAGCAACAAAATTATAATACACATGGTGAATGTTTGTTGCAAATTATTGTAATGGTAAATGTGGTTTTTGAGCTCTGATGTGAAAGCTGACACAGTAAATCTGTGTAGTAAGTTTTCTCGGCGGCTGTAGCAGACACAGCTCTCTCTCTCTCTCTCTCTGTGTACACTCTGAAAGTTTCATAAGGAAATTAATCCAAGAAATCTTCTTAACCGCCTTGTCTGCATGACATTACTGTGTGTGTTGCAAAAAACAAACCAAAAAACCCTTCACATGCAGAGTAGAAATGTCCCAGAAATTTTAATGAGTTTGGAAGAGTGGAGATAGATGACAAAACCAAGGTAACTTACATGCAATATTGTCATAATGCATGGTGGTTCTTGCTTTCAACATCGATAGTTTGTCAGTTAAATATCTTGTCTTACAGCAGTGATGCTAAGCTAAGTAATGCGTAACCAATCAACATTGGACAAGAATATACAAACTGGAAGTGAAAACAAAATAACTGAGTCTCTGCTGGTGGAGTTAGTGATAGTAATCTGCAATGCCATATGATAGATTTGGTTCTGTTCGGTTGTAGGCCAGGCCAATGAAGATATGAAGTGCTCTGGATGCTCAGCCTGTTGGGCAGTAACAGTGGGACTCATGTTTCTTGGGAAAGGAACTCCTCCAGCCAATTAGGGGTAGTAATGATACACTCTGAAAGGATTGCAGTCCACTGCAGCTCTCTCTTTAAAGAAGAATGGAGTCACAGTGTACAACAGGTTATAAATTGGAGACAGTAAGGATGGAGACCTTAAAGCCATGTTTATACTACACAGTTTTGTCAATGAAAGTCATCTTTCGTCAACAAAACAGTGGAGGTGTATATATAGCAAATCTCCTCCAACTGATTTAACTCTCCTGCTACACTGACATAATAAAACCACCTGGACGAGCGGCATAGATTTTTTTCCAACAAAGTTAGTGACGCAGTGTCGAGGTAGACTCTGCATTGCTTATGTTGCCCAAATTTCCCTCCAGGAGGTGTCCACAGTGCCATTCATGACTGCTCTGGTCACCACTTGGGGCTCCGCTGCCCTGCAGCCATGTACACAGGTACGTTCCCCTCCCCCTTTAAAGCCCAAAGAATTTTTGAAATTCCTCTTCCTGTCTTGCTTATTGTGGAAAGAAAGTCCCTGCTTGCAGCTTTCTGTATAGGTCACTATTCCTGAAGATGTGTGTGTCATGCACCTTCCCTGACCACCCTGTGTTGATGTCGGTGAAATGACCCCAGTGATCCACCAGCTCTTGCAATACAATAGAAAAGTAGCCTTTTCTGTTGATATATTCTGTCACAAGGTGGTCTGGGGCCAAAATGAGGATATGCGTGCCCTGCTATAGTTAGGGAATCCCATTGCCACAAAGCCATCCATTATTTCCTGACACTGCCCAGAGGCACAGTCCTTCATAACAGGAGATGATTAATGGCCCTGCACGGTTGCATCACTGCAATCCCCATGGGACTTCCCAACTCCAAATTGATTCACGATTGATGGCAGTCTGGAGTTGCCAGCTTCCACACAGCAATCACCACTAACTTCTCCACCATGAGGGCAACTCTCATTTTGGTGTTCTTGGGCTGAAGGACAGGGGCAAGCTCAGAACACAGCTCCAGGAAGGTGGCTTTGCACATCCAAAAGTTCTTCACTTTCTGCTCATCCTCCCCTACCTGCATCATGATGTAATCCCACCACTCAGTGCTTGTTTCCCAAGCCCAGTACTGAGGGTCCACCATGCGCAGCTGCTCTGTGAATGTCAACAGCGATCTTGAATTGTTTCTTTCCATAGCACACAGCAGGACAGGCACCACGGTGGCATTATCAGATCGCAGCTCATGAAATACTGCAAGATCAGCTGCATTGTGTTCATAACACTCATCACAAGACAGACAGGATCCATGCTTTTAGACATAGATGGCGGACACACAATTTACAGGGGCTGTTGAAAAGCAGCGTAAAACATCGTAGGAAGCCCATGGGATGATGGGATGAAGAAAACTATATGATGGGATGCTGACCCTACCTGCAAGATGCACTGCAATCCTTTCCCAGAGCACCCAGTGGCAGATGGTGGCAAGTTGCACAATGGGATAGCTACCCACAGATGCACTGCTCTGTTTGTCGATGCAAGAGCACCAGCTGTGGACACATTACGCCGTCACAAGGAGCATTGTGTGGATATGCACCAGCAATTTAATTACAGCGGTGGAGGATTGTCAATGTAACTTAAGTCGACTTAACTTTGTAGTGTAGACATAGCCTTAGTCTATTGCTACAACAGAGAAGAAAAAATAGTATCAAGGATAGATTTTCATTTGTAACAATATAAACAAACATATATGTTCACTTTTTTAAAAGGGAGGTTATATTTATCAATAAGTTGTAAATTTTAAAATTCTACTCTGAGAATGAGTAGTGTATTTTATTAGGTCAAGTTTTTCTCGAGAGTGACTTTTAAAAAAAGATTAGGACTTTTGATTAGGAAAAGGAAAGAAAAATAGTGGAGCTGGAGAGTGGATTCTGAAGAGGCAAAGTTTAAACTGCAGTCTTTATTTCTGTTGCAGTCTAGTGGATGTATTTTGTAGTATTTGACAGAGAGGGTCACACCCTGCATATTTCAAACATAAGGTTTGCCAGTCACTTAAGTTATCAGTTCAGAAAGATTTTCGTATTTCGTGAATGATATACTGGATATTCTTTGACTCCTTGCTGGGCCTTTCCATTTAGTGTTCAACTTTTGAAATAATTACTGGTATGCATTCTTATAAAAGACAAAATTAAGGAATCTGACTATATCAAATCTTTACAAAAATAACCATCATAGCTACAACTATGTATAAAAGCGTGTAGGAGATATGTTTGCTAGTATTTATCAAAAAGTGTAATTTAGAGGTACTTGGCATAAAAAATAAAACCTACAAAGATGCAGTACAGAAACATAGAACATCACAAGATATTGATAATTAGGGTTTAGTCATGATTTTGTCACATGTATTAAGCAGCATGGTGTAGCACTGCCCCAGGACCGATCTGGGAAGCATACTGTGACTCAGTCACAGCTTGCCTCTCAAGTCCCCTCCTGCTCCAGGGTGATGGTGGGGTTGGGGAGCGGGGATGTACCCTGCGCCAGAATCTGGCTCTCTGCGAGCAATTGTGTCTCAAGAATTTCAACATTTGAATCATGTTCTTTGCCTACACCTAGGTGAGTTCTGTTTTCTAGTATACTGCAACATTAGTTATGAGAGTTAAAAAAAAAAAAAAGTCTGGGCTGAAATGTTCAAAAGCTGATTAGTGACTTAGAAGCCTAAGTTCCATTTTCAAGAGATTTTACACTTATGAGTAACTAAGGTACTTTTAAACATTTTACCTTTAATTTAATTAAATATAAGTTTAGAGGACATAAGACTGAGGTCTGAGAACTCAGCAAAGAGACACATATGTGAAAGTAAATTTTGTGCGGCATTTATAAGTTGGTAGAGATATCAGAAATTTTATTTATAACAAACTTCAGATAACCTTTGGGTTTCCAATTTTGTTTCTTTATCTCATTACTGTCATGTGACATTGCAGAAACAAGTGCTAATTGTAGTAGAATTTTTTTAAAGGGTATATTATATACTTTCAATAAATTTAAAGGAGAATGAGCTGCAGCCAATGAAGCTGAAAATGTTGAAACTTCAACTGGAAGATCTTTAGCAGCAATGGATTTAGGAACATCCATAACTGCTCTGTGTGTTGATGGCTTGTCTTACAGTAATTTGCTAATTTCTATTAATGTTATTGTTGACTATTGGCCTCCATGGGAGTTGTATCATGCTCTACTTAACTATAAATATTTTAATATTTGAATTTCTTGTAGTATACACGAAGCTGGAAAACGAGAGCTGGAGGAATTCACAATTCTCCATGCACTTACTGGATGGATACCAGAAGTTATTCCTCTCCAGTGAGTTCTTCTGTTAAGCAAATAAATACTATTTTTCAGAGAGCCTAGATGAACTGGGATGTGGGCCTTAAAAATCAATTTATGAAAGGTTAGGTTTTTAACTCTAGTAAGTGGGGAGATGTGTGTTTAAAGACTTTAGAGGTTAGAAGCTTGCAGTTCCTGAAGAATTTTGCTAAGTTTATGTCTGCAAGCATTTCTGACATTTGTGAAGCTATTACCGAGGTTAGAGCTGTTGATGTTTCTTTTTTACATAGTTACACTTTTTAACTCATATTGAACCCAGCAATGAAAACAGTCTACTTTGCTAGGTATGTTTAGTTTTATTCTGATATATGACAGGCAAAGATTATTTTAATATATAGTAGCATCACTGTGTATAAGAATTTACTGTAGAAAACACAGGAAATCCTATGTGTAACCAGAAACAAAGAGGTTGAGTTCAATTGACTGCTCTTTTCACATTTCCAGCTGATGCAACTTGTTTACTTTTATTTCAAGCCAAACAGTCATACTAAACTTCATTTAATAACACTCCTGCTCCCATTCTCCCAGCCCCCTCTCCCCAATAGCTCATATTCAAGTCCATTCTGAACAGCCAGTGCAACAGGGAGTTAGTCTGACATCCTCCTTTTTTTGAATGGCTGATTGGGATATATGGTGTAGAAGGCTCTGTTTGTAAAAGAAATAGTACTTTTGCAACTTGTGGCCTTTTAGTGAATGTATTTTAAAAGAAACAGTTAAACATTAAATGGACTAATATTCCAATAGTAAATAGTACATAAGGGGGCAAAATTTCAGTCTGGCCTTATTTAGGGCTCCTACTTGTGCTTGCAATTTAGGTTACCAGGTACTTAGCTGTTTAAGCCCCAGAATATGCCTGCAGATCAGAAATTTAGACATCCAAATGATCTACATTACAGGGGCCATATTGCATCTGCAATTTACTAATGCAGCAATGAAAGCCAGTGTCTGCAAATCTGACCCTGAATATAATTTTTTGTTTTTTTGTTTTGCAAATAGGAAAAGAGTGAGTACTACACTGTTGCTGAGTGCAGTAACACAGAGCTGGCTACAGCTTGTTGCACAATAAACTGTTGAGGGATATGGTTCTAAGTTTTTCATGCAGTTACTGTGGGGGTCTGTTCAGGTTCCCTCCACTCCCCCGCCCCCTCCACATCAGCTGATCAGAGTTTACTTTATTTCTGGATGCAAGGATCCCCTATGGGGAACCAGCACAACAGCAGCCATCATATCAAGGGACTGTTAGACAGTCTTTGTTGGAATCCATGGGGAGAAGGTGTTGGAGCTGGTTTTATTGAGGTGAATAGGAGCGTCTAGAAGGACCTTTGGAGGGGTGTTTCTTTTTACAAAATCAGGATTTAGTTATTAAGATGTTTTACTCTGTCTCAGTTTAAGATCCTACATTATCGTTCTAGTTTTGCAGAATGATCTACTGAAGATTTCCCCATTAGTTGTGAAGTATCAGGTCTTCCACAGCAGTGTCTCCTAACAAGCCTGAGCACAGGATGGCTCACTATTCTTTGATGTGCTAGCTCCACTAAGCAGTCTGTCTATAATGCCTAGCACAAACCCTGTTCTTGCTAACTCTTGTTATTTTTCTGACAATTATACATGATAACATATAAATACCGCAGTGTGCTTGTTAGCTGAAATAATACAGTTACTTTTCTGAACTGTCAGATTCAGAGCAGAAAGCCTTATTCTGTAGCAAATATAAGTAATGCTGATGTATTGTATGTGTTTTTTAAGGCCTGGATATTTGGATAAAGTTTGGATCTTTTTAAAAGACATAGTGCCAGAATTTAAGCTACCAAATGAGACAACTCCTGAACTGAAAAATCCTCTGTCAGATATGAAGGCTAAAGAGACCAAAGGACCTGAGTTAAAAAACGAAATTCCAGTTGCCAGTAAGCAAGCAGAGAAGGCTGAGAAAATTGGCAAAGGTAGGAAACTCCAGACACTGTAAAAACTTTTCAAATTGAAGATAGGCAAAGTTGACATAATGCTCAGCATTCAAGCAAATCCTACTTTGTTACACTGTATGCTACTCTATAGGCCCCGTCTTGCTCCCATTGAAGTCACTAGACCAAATTCTGCTGTTTGTGACACCAGTGTAAATCCAGAGTAAGTCCAGTTTTAACTGTTGACCATAGTGGTAGCAGGTTTTGGGGCTAATTTTTTGAAGTATCTCCTCCCTTTGATTCATTTGTGGCAGAACACTATGTTCCACTGTTTAGCACATGGACATTTCCATAGAAACTTGTTCCTTGTAGAAAGAAACAAGTATATAGGTTACAATTTGCCCGAAGGTGATTGACCCAGCATAATTCTGACCAAAAAGAGCTTGACAGCATTATCTATTTCATAATGGATGTTACAAGTGGTGATTACTTGTAAGGAGCTCAGAAAACTAAAAATAACATGAAAGTGCAATTTCAAAAGTCTTTGTTTATTTTTGTAAATTAGGAAAGGAAGATAGCAGTGTTTTTGTGTATATCTTTGTGAACATGTGAGTCTATATAAAAATCTGTTCATATAGGTTTAAATCAAAATGCAACTATAACTTTTCTATTCATGGTATTGAAGGTGAGTTAATATATTTAACATTTCTGGAATTCAATTTTCTTTAAAATCCCATTTGAATTTAAATAGAAAAGTAATGTTCCAGGTTTATTAACGCACTTATTTCACAGTGTCATTCTGCAATGTTTAGATCTCATGCTTATTTCTGTTAGCTTCAGTTTTTACAATACAACATATGCGTAGTTCTGCAACAACTCTGTATGTTATAAGAAAGCACACACTATAGACTGAATCCTGTGTTCACTGCCTACCCTAACTTAAACTTAAAGATACTGGGTGAGATCCTGAGTTAGCGTGTCTCTGGTCTCTGCGCACTGAGCAAAAGAGCCAGAATGATGTAAAGCCAAGGAACTTGAAAAGCCCTGGATCTAGCCGGGGGAGAATTCCCATTGTGCAGGAACTGTGAAAAATAGCCTCAGGTGCTTCTGAGGACCCTCTCTCCAGCCTTGACATAGGAAGCTTCACAGCTGTTCTACAGGCAGGATTGAGGGCATAGGGTTGCAGAGATCCTGAGCAGCACTGTCAGCTGTAGGGCAGCCCAGGGAGGCTGCTGTAACATAGCCCCTATCTAAATTACAACCGGGACCACTCCAGCCCTTGAAACAGCTGATAATCAGGAGGACACAGCACTGGCTTAAAGCCATCTTAGTCCTGCCACCCCTTAGCTGTGAGTTCTGTGCTGTGCCTCTTAGAGGTGCAACAGAAAATCTCACCCTTTAAATATATTACTTATTTTTAAAATGATTTGCTTTTGAAAATTCAAAGTGCACAGTTTCTGAAGTCTTAGATTTGTATCAGTGATGGAAATAGGGTATTAACCTAAGAGACTAACTTCCCATGTTGATATTATTATAGATGGGGTTGATAAGATCATCTATAATTAAGGTTGTTTGATAACTCCCATTATAACCACCATATTTTCAGTTGTTTATATTTTTGGCAAACTTTAATCATTTGGATGAAATTTTCCATTCTGGGTTTGTGCCTCATGCTGAATTGTTTTGGAAAATTCGGGCCAAAACAGTTGAATCACTCAGGTTTGGCCCAGTTGCTCCTCTGTGATTACAGAGGAGCGGCTGGGCCAATTCTGCACTTATAGGGAGCAGTCCAGAAATCTGTCACCCTAGGTAGCTGCCTAGCAGGACTATAGCTAGAGTGGCTTCTGATCACTCTGCTTGACCCAGGTAGTCTGGGGGAATGAAGCTGCCTGAGTCAATTGCAGAGAAGTCAAGAGCCAGACCAGTGGGAAGGGAGCAGATGAAGTTGATTGGGACAAGGAGTCTGCGGGGAGGAGGGGACTGTAGGCTAGACAAGGAGACTGGAACTGGAAGCTGGGTCCAGAATCGGGTGGAGACTCAGAACCAGTAGTCAGTGGAAATGGATCTGATGAGGACCCAGGGTGGGGATGGAAAACTGGGACTGACTGGACAAGGAGAGTGACCAAGGAGCTGAGGGCAATGGAGATGGGGAGAGACTGAGATCGGATGAGGAATCTGGCAAGTAAGATTGGAACTGGGAGCCTGTAGGGATAAAGATCAAGGACATGGGGGTGGAGCGACTAGAGACCACAGATGAGGAAAGAGAGAGATTGAAGATCTGGGATGTGGGGAACTAGGACTGGGGGGTGGGCAAGAAGACTGGGAATGGGATTAAAAGCCTGAGAAGTGAAGGCTTGGACTGACTAAGTAAGGAGAAATGTGCCCATGAAAGCTCTTTACAGAATTTGGAATAGAATCAAGGTTCCTGATGTCAAGTATCAGGGGGTAGCCGTGTTAGTCTGTATCTACAAAAACAACAAGGAGTCTGGTGGCACCTTAAAGACTAACAGATTTATTTGGGCATAAGCTTTCGTGAGTTAAAACCTCACCTATGCATCCGAAGAAGTGAAGCTTATGCCCAAGGTTCCTGAGTCTCACTATTCCTCTGGTGTCAGCAAACCCTCTGGGAAAGTGTTCCATCTTCCTCAAGTGCTAGTTCACACAGAGTATAACAACCTCCTACTGCTATCAGTTACTCTATTAGTTCAAGTGGCACAGGTCTGTGTGGTGGATTTAAATGCTCCATCCTTGCTGATGACCCATCATATGGTGTACACACACCCCTACCTGTCTATGTCAAGGAAAGAAAGTCAAGCACTCAAACGTTAAATGCCAGAATTAAAGTTGCCCATTTCCCCTGATCAGGTCCATTAATGTAAAAACTACAGTGCCTTGTCTCCACTAGGAGTTTCTGTCTTGATGTGAAAAACAAAACACACCTTTTTCTACAATGAAGACATAGCCTTTGTCTTTACTGTGCTTTCTAAATCTATTCTACTTATCTAACTGAGCAAGAATTTTACTCTTTTTCTTTTAAAAAGCTTATCTGAAATACTGATAAGACAATGAGGTTTCATGATTTAAAGGCATTACAAGGAAAAGAAAAGATGTTGTCTTTATTCTGTTTGGTAGATAAGCTGGAACAAAGAGAAATCGGAAAGAAGAAAAGTAGAGATGGTGAAAAAGAAAAAAACAAGTCAGCACCTCATTCTGCACGAATAGCTACAGACATTCAAAGTTCCCTTCAGTCCTTTATTGAGAGTAAGTTATAAATGCTCGTAGAATTTAATCAGTTGGTTGGTTTTTGTTGTTGTTGTTTTTTACACAGCTATGAAGGTATTATGTGTAGTTGTTTGTCATCAACAACCAGCAGGAAGCTTGTTAGTTTGACATCTGATTTATGTTCACTGTTAGTGGAGTAAAAGAACTACAAACTTTAAAATTTATTTGAAAAAATATCTCTTCTTGTACTTCAGTTTAATAATTGTGGAAGTGTAACAGACTCACTTCTGGGCCAGCCTAAGGCAGTATGAAAGCACATTATGGAAAGAAAAAAACAAATGCCTTAATAGTGTGATGGTATGTTTAAATATGGAAAGGAGCGGAGAAACAGGTCTCAGTGAACTGGAACATATTGGAGGTTTTATTAGATCAATAAAAGGACAGGCAGAATCACCAAATAGTGGTCAAGAGGCAACATTCCTAGAAGATTTTTGTTTTTGCTGCTATTACATTAAAGGAGAAGAGACAGTTGGTGGTGTGCAATAGAAGATGGGTGTGAAGAAGAAATGGAGGAGGAAACTGATTCAGGTTCCGTGTCTGGTGGAACCAAAGTACCCTTTGGTCTCAGGCCTACTGCAGAGACCAGATGAAATGCAATCATAATACATGTGAGAGACCTTTGTTCCATGAGAGTAAATAAAGGGCTGTTGTTACTATTTAGTGGGACAGTGAAATCATTTGAAAAGCAGTGATCCGTGGTATATTTCAGCCAAATCAGTAGAGCTATCATATCTTGAATTTTCAGATATCAAAAACCTGAGATTTTTGAACAATGAGAAGTAGCACAAGAGACATCTAAAGAGCTGCAAGAATGAAGAACTAGGAAAGCTAGTCCAAGGGGAAAATTAAAACATGTTGTGGAGGCATTAGCAAAGTGAAAAGAACCAGAGATGAGCCTGAAAGTCCCAGTCAGGGATACATGTTCAGATACTTAGTAAATGGGTGTGATAAGAATCTGGATAGACTAGAACATAAAAATCTGAAACTTGTAAAGGAGGAGTCTGTAAGGTGTGTAAAAATGTAAGATTGGTTGGCTGTGAAGAAAAGGAGAGTATTAAATTTTAATGTTTTTGACAAAGTCCTGAATTCAGTCATCCTGTCTTCCATAATTTTACTTCCCATATTTTCCAATATATGTATATAGGAGACTGACACAATCTCCCTCACAAATATTGAAAAGCTGGGTCATCTATCCTCCCTTTTAATTTTATCAGCTATGGCTGTGATTGCAGAAGAATTTGGAACTTTCAGGGTGCTTAATACTATGGTAGATCTTACTTCGTTCCCAATGAGGTTGAAGTAGTGTGCTGAACACCATATTATATTCTCTGTTTCTTTTCACACATAATATCAATAGCATTAAGGAGGAAGACATTTTCCTTGTGTGAATGCTTTTAGCCATTATCGAAACATTGCTTGTTTGACCAACCATCTTGTATTAATTTCAGTATTGATTATTCTAGGTCTTCTTTTTTTCTTCACTTGCTATGTGTAGTATTGGCCCTCACATTTAACGTTATCTGAAAGAGTTTATCCAGGGCATCAGTTCAAACTGAATGACATCAGTTTGAAAGCAAAGGCTCAGGTAAATACTAGGTATGAAATGGAATGAACTTAAAACAAATGCTGAGGTTCATCAGAGAGTTGAATAACCCTTCATCTCCAAAGTTATCAAAAAAGATGATGGAAATACCTAGGTTGGGTGTTAAGAATGAATCCAGAGCATCTGTAATGGTAGCCATGCCCTTGGACAGCTGGAGGAACACGTAAAAGGGTCTGACCTAAATAATCTCTTCTGAATGGTACTTAAAGGAGGGAAAATGTCTGGGAGTTAACATAAAGGACATGTAAAGAGCGATGCAAGATAGATGGGGTGGCAGATCCTTGTTCGTGTCTTAACTGACGTTTGACAGTGCAGGAAGGATTCAGATTCAGAACCATGAGGCTGGTGGTGATTGCAGAAGGTTTCTGAATTACTGCTGGAAGTCTTGGAACGGGACCTAAATGATCATTGTGCAGCTATGGCATTATCTCACCTGCAGCAGCATGAAATTGCTCTTTCATTTCAGCAGTTTCCCTCAACAGCACATTTGATCTTGAGGCATCCAAAAGTACTGATCTCCTGTACTTTTTGAGATGAGTATGAATCCTTCCTACATTGCTGTAAAATAACTCTTGATAAAGTTTACATTTTACTTTTTAGAATTACAAAAGAATTTTTGTCTTCATTACATGAGTCCATTCAATCATTTGTTCTTAACTACTTATTTTAAGTTTAGCCTTGTTAATTCAGATACATTCATGTATGGATATTCGGTAAATGCTAATCACTTGTTTATTATTGATCAGCAATTTTCATAATTACTGCTTAGATTGAGAAAGGACCCCTTGGTGAAACAATGCTGGGAAGACAAAATATTGAAAAATAAGATTAATGGTCAGCTTTATATATGACAGTTATCAGAGGCCCTTCCCACCTTTTAGAAATGTCTAGATTCTAGCAAACCAAGGCCTCTAACAGTTCACAGATTTCCTCTTACTCCTCGCTGTCCAGTGACAATGATTTCACCCACTAGCTATGTCCTTTGCTCCAATCACTGTTGATCAAGCACAACTCCACTATGCTTCTAGACAATTACTTATCTTTGTTATTGTTTCTGAATAGCCCTAATAGTCCCAGAGAGGAAGGATGTTCCAGTCGTTAGGGTACTAGCATGGGACTTGGGAGATTTTGCTCTACCACAGACTTCCTGACTGATCTTGGGCAAGTCAGTCTCTCTGAGCCTCAGTTTCTCATTTGTAAAATAGGGATAGTAGTATTTCTCTGTTACAGGAGTATTGAGAGAAATAATACAGTAAAAGATTGAGGTACACAGATACTTTGATAATCAGGGAAATGTAAGTACCTTAGGTAGTTAATAGGTATAAAAAGAGCCTTGATATTCTTACAGTTTGCCTTTTATCTGTGCAGAATAGTTAAAGTTTTCACTCACAGATTGAAATTAGAGCCTAATATTTTTAGTATTGTGTTCAGGTGAATATTTCAGAATGACCTAGAAGAAAATCCTGATAATTCCTGAAAATAAAAACCCTTTGGCCCTTCTTTTTAATATACACATTTTCCCTGAGTTAATTCTAAATGCTTTTTTGCTCCCTTGGGGTGGGGGGGGGGGGAAATGAGCTTGCTCCAAATGTAGTGTTCTCTGAATGAATTTACAAAACAGCAAGATCTAAAACTGTGCAACTGCTGAGTTCTCAAATCTTTAGCAGTTGACTGAACAGTTTGTAAATCTTCAGTGACAGATCTAAATGGTAGGCATTGCTGGGGCTAAACATTTTAGTAATGCTGTAGGTGGTAACACTTTTCACCTAATAATTCATATTTAGCAATGTTATCAGTTTTAACCAAATTCACAGACATTGATTTCATGCTATTTTACAGAAGAATAAATTTCCCCCTTAATTTTTGTACAGTGAAAAAAATCAAATATTTCATTTTTAAAAGCAGTCAGTATAGTCTATTAATGTTAAAGTTGATATGATATAGCAATCTGTTAATGATTTACATGCTCTAATAATTTGTTCAGTGCCCTGTATACATGTTGTTTCACAGTCCATCTGGACTTGGTTTTGTAGCTTTAGGCTCCACCTGGTATTTGATGAAGTTCTGGTTATTTGAGTAAAATGTTTTCTCACATGAGCTGAAATTGGTCTGGCTTGTGGCATTTACTGTTCTGTAATGTACATTGGGGCTGCTAGTGTTGCTTTTGTAGTAGGTCCAACATGTCTGCAGGGGACTGAGATCAAGCCCAGATGACATTATTGCTTTTAAACAAATGAAACCCATAGCTAACACAACAGCTGTGGCTAACATGGGAGTCACAAGCGTGTGGAGAGAGATATTAAGGACCAACTGGAGCATTCGCCAACCTCTCAAATTTTACAGAGATGTTGAATTTAAAAGGATTTCAGAAGGGACATTCAAGAATCAGAGGTTTTCTTAGAGTATTGAAGAAAAGCATTGAAAGCTTTGCATACATTCCAGAAAAACAGATTTTAAAAGCACATAGCTACACTTCTGTCAACTTAGATAGTTGGAGACTCATTAGAATTAGACAGGTAATGGATCCCTGTCTCTGTCTTGCAAATCGAGATCACTTGTGACATAGCAGGGTACAATCCAGACCAATGAGTAGCTGTCGCCCATGCCCTGTAACTTGGGGTGCCCTTTACAATGCCTTGCTGCTGTAGCCTCCAACCTGGACTGCTCACAAACAGCCTCCAACATGTTCCCAACTATGTCTCTGTGTGTGCTACAGCCAGCCAGCCACACCATGGCTCTCACCAGCCAAAAAGATTAGCACAGGATGACCCCAACACACTACCAGTCCCAGATTTCCCCCCAGAAACATATGTCCTGTACTGCTCATCCCTTACCTAAATAGTACAAATATACCAAGTCCATTTTCCTTTAAGGGAATAATATGCACACAACTTGTTATCACAGATGGGGTTACCCAGACACTTCAATTTGAACTCACTGGATTAGATAAAACAATAAAGAAAATATATTAGCTACAAATTAATTTTAGGTGAGTACAAGTAATGAAGCATAAAAATCAGAAGTGGTTACAAGAAAAATAAAGATAACTTATTGGTGCCTAACTTAAACTGTATTAGAGTCAAAGCAAAGTTTTCTCACCACATGCTTTCAGCAGTCATACTGACAAAACTGTCCAAAGGCTGCTTTCTTTGTCTCTTGACGCGCAGTGACTGCGATGGGCGGGGAGAGAGAGAGGAGGGGTGGGGGGGTGTTGGCCCCTGCTTTTTATAGTTCTGTCCCTCCTTTGAGAAGCATTTCTAGCTGGGAGCAAGGTGACAAACAGTCTTTGTGGAAGGAAACTCTATTCTGTTTCTTTGCTAAGATATAGATTTATACCCCTACCCCCTTTCCTGACAAAGAATGACCACTTAGCGGGAAATGATCCATCAGCCTTGTTTACACCTGGCTGAGTTGTCAGCTTACCTTTTTGTCTCTGAAGAACTGGTTTGGCCTCTCCCCAGACTTATCTGGAAAATGTACTTTTAGTCAAGATTTCAGCTTATGTTTATAGCTTCACATATAACACTGCTACATGCATTTTACCATGATATTATTGATCAGCAAATTGTACAGAAATAATTACAATAGTGTGTGGGGTGTAAACACTAGTATATTCTGTCACATCACTACATGAAAAAAAAATGCCCTTGAGAGACAGGAATCAGGCCCTGGCCAATCAGTTCATACACGCAGCACCCACTCCCACAGACTGGGAAAGTGAAACAGGAAGAAATAGCTCCTGTTGTTTTTGGACCATTTATATAATCCAGATTACATTTCTAAGGCTTGGCCTACACCTCATAGTTAAATTGACGTAAGGCACTAAAAATACTAAAATGTCGCTCCTGCCGATGTAACTTGCCCACTACACCGACTTAATAACTCCACCTTCACGAGAGGAATAGAGTCAATTTTGATGTAGTTAGGATGACACCATGTCAGTGTGAACACTGCATTGCTTACATCGAATGTTGCTACCTTTCAGAAACCATCCCACAAAGCCCTACACTGACTGTTAAATCAGTGCAATCTCTCCTGGTGAGGACACGCATTATGCTCCTTGTGTCAGCAGTGTGGACATTCAAAAGCGATTTTAATTGTTGCAGTGGCTGTACATCAACATAACTTAGGTTGACATAATTTTGTAATGGAGACATACCCTCTCTTATCTGTCTAGGCATTTATATTGTGTGCTGTGGCATCTCAGTACCAATATTTTTAACATTTAGGGGGAAAACATAAAAGGAATATCTCCTGTGGACTGATCACTAAAGTTACTTTCTGACCAGCAGCCTGTCTGCTACCTATTTTGTGTAATGCAAGCAAAATGTTTAAAAGGTATTAACACACTAATTGCATTGGACCAAAACAATGGGGCTTTTCCAGAAACAGTTCCTTTTGAATGGAGAGTCTATCAAGCACTTCTTCTCAATTAAATATTCCAACCTAATCTAATTAGAGAACATGGTGTTCCACAGGGAATTAGAACCATTTGGTGTTATGTGCTTCATAACTTGTTTTGTTTTTGTCCTGTTCTAAGCAGTATTGATCTATGCATCCGATGAAGTGGGCTGTAGCCCACGAAAGCTTAGGCTCAAATAAATTTGTTAGTCTCTAAGGTGCCACAAGTGCTCCCTGTTCTTTTTGCAGATACAGACTAACACGGCTGCTACTGAATCTGAAACCTGTCATTATTGATGCAGTGTTCTCTCTTCTAGGCTCTCCAGTGCCAACACTGCCACAAATGGTGGTGTATGCTAGCTATGTACCTCTCCATTTGTCTGAAGAAAAGATCTTTGTTTTGGGGCAAATGGTAAGGCTTTGATCTCTCAGGAAAGACAAATAACTATTTCACAATTAAGATATTTATTTTGTCACAAGTTCATTTAAAAAAAATATTCCCCAGGAAATGACTGTTCAGTTCAATTTATATTTCAATGCTGAATACATTTCTTTTAATCTTTAAATCTACATTTCTCTGCCACAGGCCTAGCAATCCTTCAGTTTTACCGCATTTTTCACTTCCCACTCTTGAATCCCTGTGTTAGTCAGTATACTTCCAGATAATGAGGGCTAGACTAAATCTTGTTAGATTAAAAAAAAAAGGCAAGATGGGATATTAATGAAAAAGTAAGCCTAATTACTGTAAGTGCTCCTTGAAAAATTGAATTCAGTTTTTTTAGTACAATTAACTCATAATTTCTAATAAACTAGAAGTATAAAACAGAAAATAGCCAATCTGTGCTCATTTAAGATGTAATTGTTGTTGTGACTGGTGAAAGTAAGTGGGTGGCAGATGTTACATTTCTTGTTTCTGCAGAAAAAGGGGGGAAAAAAGGGAGTTGTAACCTGTGAATATATTTACAATTAGTTCACTCATCCAGCCCAAAAGCTATTTGTAATGATGGAGAGGGAAGGATTTCTTGAAACATTAGCTTTAGATGTAAGGAATAAAAACAAATTTTCTCTTCAACTTGATTCCTATTACTAATAATTAGAGCACTTAAAGATTATTAGTCTTCTCAGAATAAAGAAATGTCTGGCAGTACTTTTATGAGACTGTTTGGAATTAACCGTGTTTAATATCAGTTGGACCCAGGATTGTGTTCTTTGTTTAAATTGTATCGTGTTACTAGAAGGACCACTGTAATTTAATCCTGTATAATTTATGTGTTTAGCACAGTTTCTCTATGCTACTGGTAATTTATAGTAATCAGAAAGCAGTTTGGAAGTCATGGTTTAGTGGTTTCTTTCTCTCCTGTCATATGGAGAGACAAGTCTAATTCCCTGGTTTTGGCCTCAATCCCTAATGAGGCAGAGATTACCACAAAAGAGGTGTGATAGACCGGGTGGAATAAGGCAGGTCTGAGGTGTCATTTAGACATTTGTCCGAGATGGTCATTTAGTAGACTCATGGATGAATGGTAGTCTAGGGGGCTAAATATAGAAATATACTATTTCTTCTGGAAATCTTTTAGGCAAGCCTTGTTCAGACCATGTTTGGGGACCCAGAAATCCACCATTGAAAGTAATCATATTTTGGAAGATTCGTTTAATTACTTGGTTGAGATCCTGGCCCCATTAAAGTCAATGGGAGTTTTATCATTCAGGTCAGTGGGACCATGATTTTTGCATTTTTCTTTTTTGGCCTACTTTACTGGTGTGTGCTCTCCTAATGCTTGTATAGCTGGGTTTTGGCTGTCTACATAAAGAATGCAAAGTTCTCAAATAAAAGGGGAAAAATCAATAGTTTGGTATTACTCTAGTATGTATCTTGGCCAACAGTTATCTGCCAAGTAAAGTAGCTAAACTGGTTTGCTGCAGTGCAGAATCATTTCGAAACACCAGGTGGCTTTGCTTCTTACATATTAAGTACTATCTGTTTAAATGTGTGCTTCCCCAGCCACCACTCCTGCATTCCCCAGCCACCACTCCTGCATGTTATATGTCCAGGAGGAAACATCACATCAAACTGATGAGGTTGCTTATGGATCTTTTTTGCATTCTAGCTTGATTTCTCTTTATTTTCAGTCACACTGACAATCACAATCACAGTAATTGTTGCAGAACTAGTGGAGTTCTAGGGTTGTTAGACAATGAGCGGGAGAAATGGGGTGTGCTTTTTGTTGGAATGCAGTATAAAGTTGAGTAATTGGTGTAGTTTGTTTAGTGAACAACAGAAGATGCATAGCTAAAAAAAGAAAAAGAAAAGATGTCCAAATATTAACAGTAAACATTAAGTAGTGAAGGAATATACTTAAATTAGAAGATAACTGTTTAAATGGGAAGAGTACCACTCAATGTCCATATCTAAAATTGTTCTTAGGTCATGGTTAAGCTGTAGTGTCTTTATATACAACCATACTTCTGTTATGTACTAAAATAGACAGTGAGATTAAGGGACTAATTCTGATAAAAAATATTGCTGCAGAATGATTTTACATTATGGATGTTTTCACAAGCCACCTAAATAAACCAGTTGCTTAGTAAAACTCTGCCACCTTGTAGATGTCAGCATGAAGCTGTGGCCAACACTTCAGAAAAATATATTTTTTTAAATTCTTAAAACAAAATGTTGTCAGCCTTCCTCCTTTTTTCATTCCACTGCTGTGACACAGTATCACTCTGTGTTTATCTCCAGAGCTGAAAAACGCAGGGTTGTGGCTGAAACAACTGTTGTACGATAAATCCATTATAAATAAAATGTATTGAAACCAAAAAAGTGCCATTAAATTTTGACTCCTGATCAGTCATCTTTGCTAGACATGTTTCGAACAAGGAGCTGACAGAATATTTCATGTTAAATCTAATATTTTTTCAAGATTCTGTAGGCTTACTGTTTAGCTTTTTTAGCATGGGAAAGGAGAACTGCTGTCACTGAGTTTATCCTTCTGGATTTTGCAGGCTGATTCCTCTGAGAAGTTGAGGCAGTATGGACTTTCCCACATACATAGCCATCCTGTGCTGGTGACTAGGACTAGGTCCTGTCCTCTGGTAGCTCCACCAAAGCCACCACCAATTCCTCGATGGAAACTTATCCGCCCGAAAAAAGAAACTGTTGTGACAGATGAAGCTCAAGGTTTGTCTACGAATCACAGTTAAAATTCTTAGTGTTTCACTTGTGAACCAATATAGTGGAAACACTTGGCATATAATTTCAGTGGAGTTACATCGCAGCTGAATTTTGCTCCTTATTTTTGCACCCTTGTTTAAGGCTCCCCCCTCCCATTCTTTCATAAATGAGTGTTTGGAGAGGTAGGATACATCATAACTGGAAAAAATCCCCAAATGTGAATTAAAGATTTGGAGAGAATCAGTGATGGGCTTAACCACTTTTTAACTGAGAACCCAGAAACTGGAAAGCTTTGATAAATTATTTATTTATTATTATTAGAGCTATGGGGACACGATGTTGATAGCTAGCACAGCGCTTAAACACATGCTTTACTTTAAGCATATGGATAGCCCCACTGACTTTATTGATCCTATTCACATACTTAAACTGTATATCTGCTCTGCAGCTAGGCACAAGCCTCCCAATACCAGATAGCCAGACTTGCGCTAGTGAAGCTTTAACTAGTGTGCTAAAAATTGCAGTGTGGATGTTGATGGCTCTGTCATCAGCTCGGGCTCTCAGGTCCACCGGCACCCCGTGTCTGAGCTCGGGTGGCTAGCCTGAATCTCTGCTGGCTGCAACATCCATACTGCTATTTTTAGCATGTTATATTGAGCCCTGCTTACAGGAGTGTGTCTGCCCTGGCTGGGAGGCTCAGAGCTGCAGTATAGGCCTACCCTTGTTGGCTCAGGCTCAGAGTAATCAGCACATTGCAGGATATAAGCTCTGTGTGCGCACAGTGCTTTATTTAAAGGCACTGTTGACCGTCCCCTTCCATTCTTGCACTAACTGCAGGAATGGCAGACCAGGAAACAGGCCTACGTTTCTAAAACATGCCGTCTTTTGGGCTTAAATTTCCTCAATAGCAACTTCATAATTGTCTAAGAGGGTTCTCATAGACTTGCTCCTAAAGTCTTTTTAGAGAGTATTGCAGATCAGATATTAGCAATGAAAATTGCCTAACAGTATTTCACTAAGAATTCAGGAAGTTTCCTTAAATAACTAGTTAGTCATTTAATGGACCATTTTTATTCAGTTATTCCAATTGTGTGCATGCACTCTTGAAAATGTGGTCCTTAATAGTTTTTTCTCAAAATACTCTTCATTAGAAATATTAATAATTTTCACATTTAACAATAATGCAATGGTAAGTCTAATTTACAGATATTTCATGCATGTAGATGGTATGAACTAAGACAGATTTTTTTGAGCATCTTAGGCATTATATTTATTTATTTGAAATGAACCAAATCCTTAATTCCTTACTTGGGAAAACTTGTATTGACTTCAGTTGCAGTTTGCTTGAGGATGGGGTAATAACTGAACTAGGTGGTCAAGATTTGATCCAATATGGATTGGTTGCTTGCAGGGAGCTATGGCGTTATTCAGCTGCAACTATGTTAATGGGCTAAAGGGTTGTGGGCTAAAGGGTTCTCATGGATAGTAATGACACTGCAAAACCAAGTTGTAGAAGTGTCCACTTCATATTTCAAAAGTCCTGCTGCATTAAAATCTTTTGAAAGCTGTACTTTCAAAAATCACTGTATTTTACAAAAGTACAATTAACTGGAACTTCAGTGGTTTAGTACATACAGCTATCCTTGTAATGTCAGATTTCACCTTGAATTGTACCAAAAGTAGCCAGTCTTAACCCTTTTTTGAGAATTTTTATTTTGAACAATATCACTGGTTTTGGTGCTTTAAAACTCATAATAATATTTTTTATTTTTTCAGAACCTATAATAAAGAAGCCTGAACAGTATATCGAAATTGCTAGCCCATTTCTGAATTATAGAGTCACACCTATTGCAATGCCCACAAATATGTAAGTAAATTAAACTTCCTGTACAATAAGGGAATGCACTTATTTGTTTCAATATAGTGTTAACATTTCTGTTCAACATTCATCATATAACCAATATAAAAACAAAGTATTGTGTTTATCTATAATACGCAAACAAGTTGTTTACTTTCATTGCTCACTCAAGGGTCTTACCTTTTATTTGAGATGTAATTGAATAAGAAATTATCCCTTTTTAAATTAAGAATGTCTAGGAGCAATTGAAATCCAGAATTTTCAATGCACATGTTTCCCATTTACCTTTCCTACATTATTTTGACCTGTGTGCCAGACAGTTCTTTTCTCTTTCCTCAACCCCCGCTATACACACCATGGATCATTTGGTCCAAAAGTGAGAAATTTCTTTCTTCAAATGTTTATGGGCTTCATCAAAGGCCATTGAAATCAATAGAGTTTTTCTATTGAATTCATCAGGGCCTGGGTCAGGCCCCTTAAGTATTTTCTTACAATAGGTTTTGATTGTTTTTCTTTTCTCCTTTTCTTATTGTATTGAAAGGTGAGATTTGCAGTAAAGATGCTCAATGTTCCTCTTATGTTTAAAGAGTTATTAAATGTTAAGATAATCTTCCCCTCAATTATGAGTGATATGTGATTTTTAACTGAATATGAAAATTGGCCTCAGGAACTAATTTACTTTAAATCACCTCCAAATGAAGAAATGGATACTGCTCAGTCTGCTTCTTTGTTAAATTTCTCCTCTTCCTCCACTTTGCATTCTTCCTGAAGCTTCTGGCTGAGGGGTGATTATGAATGTGTTCTTCCTGAAGTACAGTATAGGGTGCAGTTGCTGATGGTTATGTTATTCACATGTAAAAGAAAAGGTGGGAAGCTAGTTTTTCATTTTCAGCTTTATATTGGATTTGCCAGAAAAGCAATGCATCAGGGATCTTCAATCACAAGGGCTATTATACTCTTAAAAAGAACCCATAACTCGATGATTTGTTGATTAAAGGACTACTTGCCTCAGAGATTTCACTCTGCCCTCAAGACATTTTGCCTGTTGTTTGATTCATTGGGCCAAAGAATGGAACCTCTAAGAGGTCCCTTTCACATTCATGGAGCTCATGTAATCAGTTCTACACTCCAGATCTGTGACAGCAATTTTTCTCCTGAAGAAAGGTTTCAGACTTTTCAGAATGATTTTTCTACTTCAGAATATCTTCAGATAGCTTTCAGATTTTCTCTCAGTTCTGTTGAGCCTCATAGCCTCTTGCACATATGTCATTCCTCTAGCCAGACTTCAGAGGAAACCATTGCAAGGCTGGCTTAGAACTATTCGTTGGCTTCCTTTAGATAATATGGAGCAACAGGCCATTTGTGTCTCCTGACGTTACGTTTTCACGTAATACCAGATAACACCAGAACATGCTTGTAAAGGTGCCTCTTTCAACCATCTGCAATGCTGATAACAAATACTTCAACACTGTTAGGAAGCTGAGCTGTTTCAACTCATAATCAAAGACTTTTGTACACATGAGTATAAAAAAACTTTATATAAATGTCCAGGAACAAAGAGCAGCCTGTCTGGCTAACAATGCTTCTCTCCTAACAGGCACCTTCCTTTGCACTTTCATGAAGAATTCTACCACCATATATTTTATTACATTGAAAAGCACCACATTAAAAGAACATTAAAGTTGCAAAGTCAAGCAGTCAAAAGTTAGTAAATACCAGTATTAAAGCTATCTGTGCAATTTTAATTCAGCCCCCTTACGTGTGTGCATTTTGATTCAGTCTTAAATTACATGGTCACATACTATTTTTTCCATGGGACCCCTGCCTCATTTAGGATGGACAATTGCTCTGGGGATAAATCAGGGTTGTGCAGTGAAGGAAACTGTTGTCTGTAGGACATCTGCTTCATTAGTTGCAGAAGTTGGAAGGTGTGTTATGAATGAGACCTTGTCTACACTTGCAATGGTGTGTAGGATACATGTAGCTACACACTGCTGTGAAAGGCAGGCTAAATCCACACGTATCTACACATGGCAATGAAAGGCTCTGGCAGTGGGATGCTATACTGTTAAAATTAGCAATGTAGATGTGGAAGGCACTGTTTGGGTGAGTAGAGAGCTGTGTAGGATATATATAGTAGGGTTCAGACATGTAGGGCACTCTACTTGCCTAAGCAGTACCTCACTGTCTACACTGCTATTTATACCCATGCTTACTGGGCATGCAGTGTCTGTACTGTACATGCTGTAAGTGTAGACCTACCCTGAGGTAGGGATTGCAGAAAGAAAAAGGGTGGTCTCCTGGTTAAGCCAGCTAAATGGAGTTTTGAATTCTGTCCCTATCTCTGTCACAGAATGCCTGTGTGATGCTGAGCAAGTCATGTAAAACAAAATTTCCACAGGTGACCACTATATGTTTCTCATTTTCAGGGAGCTCAACTTGAGGCATTTGTGGTCTAATTTGCAGAAATGCGAAGCACTCACAACTGCAACTGCATAACTGGAAGCTTTGCTCTGAATATATTAAGTGCTATAAAATGTTAGGTATTCTGAAAAGTCAGGTGCTAGGCCTTTCAAATTGGACACCCAAAATTAGTGAATACTTTTGACAGTTTTTCTTTTAATCTCTGTCCTCAGTTTCTCATAGTGTAAAATAGGGACAATACTACCACTTCACCTCTCAGCGGTGTTATGAAGATGAATTCATTAATGTTTGTAAAGAACTAAGATACTATGATGAGAGTACCACAGAAGCCCATGAGAAAAATAATTATTATGTATTCAGTGCAGGGTTTGGATTGTGGTTAGTAAATAATGCATGGGGGTAATACAGTGAATGATGAGGATAAAAAAAATGACTAGCTGCTCATTCGGTCTGCACTGTGCATCCTGTGGAAAAAATAGTATATGATCATGTAATTAAAGACTGTCATAATGCTTACAAACAAGGGGGTTGAATTAAGATTGCACAGGCAACCTTAATACTGACATTTCCTGACTTCTAAGTTGCTTAAATTTGCAACCTTAACATTATTTAATGCTTTTTTATGTATGGTTTCATCCATTGTGGGGTGTCCAGTCAGATGATTCTTTTCTCTTATGAGTATCAGTGGGGATGTGAAGGTTGTGGGTGATGTCGTCTTTGTAATGAAAGAATTCTTTGAGTCAGAGTTAGGGAAAGAATTCTTTTAGTTTTCCACATTTTAGTATGGTGTCAGGTCCTGTGGTGGGGCAGAAGTGATTGAAAGGCTGGTATTGCACTGGTATTGTACCTACCATGAGATACACTCTTTCTTGCTGGAGACAAGGAAGTAACAAAGTCACTCAAAGTCCAGTGTGCCCTGAGAAGGCATCACAGTGGCATAGCCATTAAACACAAAAAGCAAAAGATGGAATCGACTACATCAACTCCATGACGCATAGAACATTACCTCTAGGAGAAACCATGACACCAGAACCCACCACATGGACACTGTACGACACCCCAGTATCATCAGATAAGCATAAGATTACCCCTAACTGGAGCTGAATGATCTGTACTCCCTCAGGGACTGAACTTCTGCCCCATCACAGAATCTGATAGCATACTAATGTTGAGAACTAGAAGAATCATCTGACTGGACTCCCCCCAATGGATGAAACCACACTGACGAGATCATCATGTTTATTGCTTCAGGAAAGAAATCAACTTTTCAATCCTTAACAAACATTACATCCCCCACAATCTCTCCATTGCCAAGAGGACGGCTATACAATCCAACCACCAGATAGTGATCACAGCAGCAGACATAGGAGGCACCATTGTAGTCCTCAACTGTGATGACTATGTCAATGAGGCAACCAACAACACTCTGATACCACCTAATATAAAAAATTCAAAGAACACCCCACACCACAGTTCACACAGGAATTTAGGATATTGTCAAATCCTTTCCCAAACAACTCCAAGAGAAACTACAAGTTCGCCCTGATGAACCCACCCCAGGGACCTTCTGTCTACTACCAAGATACACAGACTAGGGAACCTGGGCAGACCCAGCATATCTGACTATGACACGCTTACTGAAGGCATGTCAGGACTCGTAGAAACCATCCTCAAACCACATAAAGGGCCAGTTTTCTCTAGATCACAACTAATTTCCTCCAAAAACGCCACAACGTTAACAACCTCCCTCAGAACACCAACCTTGCCACCATGGATGTGACCTCTCTATACCCCTTCTGCTCCACGCTGGAACCTATATGGAGTCGCATCAAACAATTACAACCCATGTTTGATGGGAACCATATTCTGAAAGCTTTCCTGAACCCTGTTTTTTGACCTTCAAACAACCTCCGAACCTTACCAAGTTTGTCATCAGAAGCAAACTCCCCATAACCAAGACACATCAACTCAAAGCAGCACTAGATGCTGCCAGAACAACAGATGCAAAACCTGCAAACATATTTTCACTGCTACAATGATCAACACCCCCACAACATACCTTTCAAGATTTATTTATTTATTTTATTTATCCATGGGTCCTACATATGACTGTTGTAACATGATATACCTCAATCAGTGCATCAAATGCCCCAACAACAACTATGTGGGTGAAACCACACAATCACTACACTGCCGAATGAACTCTCACAGAAAAATGATAAAAGACAAAAACACTGTGTCCCCCAGGGACAAACACTTTAACAGTCCCTCCATATCGAGCTCCTCAGTCTTCATCCTCAAAGGAAACCTGCCCTACACCTTCAAAAGACGAGCCTGGGAGCTTAAATTCATAACTTTGTTAGACACTAAAAGTCATGGACTCAACAGAGACACTGGTTTTATGTCTCATTGCAACAGTCTATACCCACTAACCCTCCTTTGCTGTATGACTGCAGAGGTGTTTATTGCTCACTTCATCTTGAATGGTCTCTTTATGCTTAACAATCTGTACCACCTTGTATTGAGCTGTGACACTAAAATTACCTTACCCAGACCTGAAGAAGAACTCTGTCTCTTCGACGAACATAAGCTGACCCAATAAAAGATATATGGGCCTGGTCTACACTGGGGGAGGGGGGAAATGATCTAAATTACGCAACTTCAGCTACGTGAATAACTTAGATCTACTTACCGCAGTGTCTTCACTGCAGTAAGTCGACTGCTGACGCTCCCCCATCGACTCCGCCTACGCTTCTTGCTCTGGTGGAGTACTGGAGTCGACCGCAGAGCGCTCAGCAGTTGATTTATCGCGTCTTCACTGGATGCGATAAATTGACCCCCGCTGGATCGATCACTCCGGAGGTAAGTGTAGACCTGCTCTGCCTTACCTACTTTGTCTCCCTCATATCCTGGGACCAATACAACAACACTACAAACAACCGTTTAAAAAAAGTAGTTATTGCCTTATAATGTAATTCTTTAATATTATTGAGATGATGAAATTTCTTACCTTTTATTTGTAAAAAAAAGAATTATAAAGATGATACATAATGAAAATTGCTTGACTTATTTTTTATTCTGTACCTTAAGCAATTTGCCTTAAAATGGAGAAATATCTATAAATGAAATGTGTTGAAATAGTAAATGGAGTAATAATTATAAATAAAATGCTGTAATATTTGCAGATTAGCAGAATTTTGTAGTATGTTTTTATATTTTAATAAATTACTTTCTGATTTGTTTAGCCTGTTTTGTCAAGGGTGAAATAATTTCTATTAGGTTTCTGTGACAACGATCTAATTCAGTCTCCTGTGATTTAATTAACAGGTAGTTACCAAAATATATAGTGAAAATCAACATTTTATTAAAGTAATACTGTTTTAAAATGATGTAAGGAATTTAGATTTGTAATTGGGATTGCAGCTATTTTTAATCTGTAACCTTAATCCTAATCAAAGATATAAATATTAAGACATTATTTAAGAAAATATATTTCTACAAGTATTATTGCTAAAGAATTAAATATTTCATTATCTCTTTTAAGGAAGTACTGGATGAAGCATGTTTACATTTGTTCTATTGTATTACCATAATACTATAATTACACATTTAAATCAAATTGCTATTTGTGTGACATTGCTTTGATGTAGCCCCCATAGCCCATATAACCAAGCAGTCTGTTCTAACAAGCTCCTGCTCCCACTGAAGTCAAAGGCAAAACTCTGATTTACTTCGATGGGAGTAGGATTGGGCTCTACATAGAGTTTCATGTTTTGTTTGTTTTGTATCCATGGAGACCAATTTTGAAGAAAAAAGCAAAACTGCTTCCTATAGCCAAAAAGCCCACTTCCCCCGGCCTCCACTGGTATCAATCTTCTGGATGTGTTCTCCCTAGTGGCCACAGAAGGTCAACCATTAGTAATGATGTTTTATAACTTTGCTGTAGAGGTTCATGGCTTCCTCTAAAAATTAGATGGAAAAGCGATATTGTGTGTGTATGCATGTGGTGGTAAGCCCGTAATGACACTGCTTAGGAATACTGCTATCCTATTGGGTTGAAAAAGTAAACAAAGGACATAAAAATGTAGGTTGTTTTGTAAATCAAATCCTTATTTTTCAAATAAGATAGTTATGAAGACACCTTAAAAACAAGTATGTGTATTAATGTGTTTGAGTTTTTCTTTATTATATAGCCATTTTCCATCATCTACTATCAAAAGAGGATGTAGTCCTGCATCCACCCTCCCTTCTGTCATTGAAAGTGATGAAAATGTAAATGACACTTATTTGGATGTGATTCAAAATATGAGATTCTTGAGTGCAGAAGATAATTCCCAGGTAATAACGTTACATTTAAAAAAAAAAACCTAACCCAGTTTTGTTCTGCAAATGACAGTGGAAGATGGAACATAAAAATTTTAATAGATGTAGATTTTAAACAAAAACTTTGTTATTGCATTGTTTCTTTTTGCATTAAAATTAACCAGTCTTTTACCTTTTTTATAGTTAGTCTTCCTACCTAGTTGGCATCAATATATCAGCATTTCCATTTTAACTTTCTATTTTTTGCAATATGTAGCTCATGCATTAAATCTACTAATCCTATTTTCAAAAAAAACCAGGAGTACTTGTGGCACCTTAGAGACTAACAAATTTATTTGAGCATAAACTTTCGTGGGCTACAGCCCACTTCTTCGGATGCATAGAATGGAACACACAGAAAGAAGGTATTTATAGATACAGAGAACATGAAAAGGTGGAAGTAGCCACACCAGCTGTAAGAGGCCAATCAATTGGTGTGGCTACTTCCACCTTTTTATGTTCTCTGTATATATAAATACCTTCTTTCTGTGTGTTCCATTCTATGCATCCGAAGAAGTGGGCTGTAGCCCACGAAAGCTTATGCTCAAATAAATTTGTTAGTCTCTAAGGTGCCACAAGTACTCCTGTTCTTTTTGAGGATGGCTGCTACTCTGAAACTAATCCTATTTTGGCTGTTTATAAAGAAAAGAAAAGAAAAGAAAAACGGCTCTTTAAAAGAGAAAACATGGGTACAGTATCTCTCTCTTTCTCTTTTTGTTTTTTCTCTCCTCAGGAATGTTACTCTGTGGCTATGTCTACATTTATGGTGGTGTTAGAGTACAGACACCGCATGCCGCCCTTGCACAGGTATAAATAGCAGTGTAGATGGTGATGTACTGATTAGACAAGTAGAATAAAGACACTCCAGAACCTTAGGGTATGTACCCTACACAGCTCTCTACATGCCCAAGAAGTGCCTTCTCCATTTACACTGCTATTTTTAGCAATATAGTGTCGCACTGCCAGACCCTTTTCCACTGTAGTGAAAGACTATGGCAGCAGAGAAAGTCTCTAGCAGCAGGGAGATGCCAGAGCCTTTCTCTGCTGCCTCCCCACTGCCAGAGCCTTTTCCTGACACTTGTAGCTAAACACTGCCCTGGGACACACCATCCTTTTTACAGCAGCGCATAGGCGCCAACTTCCCCTCTGCCCTGTGAGTGCCCGACACTGTCCCTCCCCCTGGCCCTGCCCCCTTCCCGCCCCCACTCCACCCCCTTCCCCCACCCCACTCCTGCCCTGCCTCTTCTCTGCCTCCTCCCCTGAGTGCACCACGTTCCCGCTCCTCCCTCTCCCTCCCAGAAAGTCCTAAGCACCACCAAACAACTGTTAAGTGGCAGGAATGGGAGGAGCAGGGATGCGGCGTGCTCGCGGGGGGAAGAGTAGGCGAGGAGCTGCCGGTGGGTGCAGGGCACCCGCTAATTTTTCCCCCAGGCCTGTGTCTGACTTTGAAGCCTAAAAAGCTTGAATCAGTGAAAAGGGATGGAAGCAGCTACAAGTGCAGTTAAGACATTTGTTTGTTTAGAATATCACTAGGATCAATATCACTAGGATTTTCAGTTTCTTAGTCTCCAACCTTTAAGTTCTCAGCCATTTTTGGCTTTTGTACACACATGATTTTACTATTTGCCCCGATATGGCAGCATAGGCTTTACACTGCTTGTGTGTGTATAATATGCTTACTGTATTTCAGTTACAGTACAGAGGTTACCTAGATACACAGCTACTTGGGAATAAATAACCCTCAAACCTAGACATGTAGGCCAATATTTTAAAGAAGGATGCTTTAAGTTAGTTTCTGAGTCCATATTTAGGCACCTAAATAAGTCTTGTTTTTCAAAAATTTTGAGCACTTTGCTGCTCCAGTGTGCTTCAGATCCTAACTTTAGACACCCATTTTTAAAAAATGCTACTCATAATGTCTAAAATGAGTCATGGTGAACAGAGAGCAGGAGACTTTCAAGCAAACAAGTGGCAGATGGAACTTAAATCATATAACAGAGAACATAATTAGCAGTCTAAGGTGTCTCTGAGGATCAGATTGTATATTGGTGTATACTGGCACAATTCCATTAATTTGAATAATACTTTGCACTTCTATAGTGCCCATACATCTTGAGTTCCCAAACACTGACACAAATTCTGTCTGTTACGCTCATACAAATCATGAGCAACTGATAGGATTTGGCCTCTGTAGACTTTCAAAACGTGTAGAAAAGGGTTGACGTTCATGACAGTCACGTATTATCCAGCACAAATAGAACTTTGTTAGGCAGTAGTGTCTCATTCAAAAGTTTGAGAATGGTTAAGTCTCTGGTGTGCTGAGACTGCTGCCTATCATGCTGACTAATATTGTTTCCTTGTACTCTGTCTATATCCAACTGTTGTTTTTTTGTTTTATACTCAGATTATAAGTAGGCTTGACAGAATTTGATTTTTGTTTTTATAATTATTAGAGTCATATTGATTTTAAGCAATTTTTATTTTTATCAACTTACATGTTCACAGTTGTGGGAATTTATGGGTGGTTAGACAATTATTTAATAACAGTAGACACTGAGATTTAAAATGTCAAAACTTTGCCCATTAAACCACAAATTACCAACGTCATATGTCAAAATATACAAACTAAATAGCATTAACTCAATCTTTAATGAGTTCTCAAACAGCATTTTTCTTTCTTTGTCTATCTGTAAATTTTAATTATTATCAATGGAGATATTTTTCATCAGTTTGCCTGGGTGTACGGTGAAATTGAAGTTTATCAGCATTTAATGATAAAAATCTAATCCTTCCTAGTCCAATTATAAACTCTTTGAGGCAGGCACTGTCTTTTTGTTCTGTGTTTGTACAGCACCTAGCACAGTATAACTAGGGCTCCTAGGCACTGTGGTAATACAAATAAATAATATATGAGTCCTATTGTATTAGATGCTGTCAAGGCTGATTCCCCACTCTGGCACTTCGAGTGCAGAAGGTGGGGGCCCACAAGGATTCTAAAAATTAATACTGGCCACTCCAGGCTGGTATTAAACTCCCTAGGTCACAGTTTCTCTCTGACCTTGGAGGGGTAGATGCTGCCACCACCCAAGTGCAAAATAAACCCCTTGGGAATTCCTTCCTGTGGGGTACCTTCAAGCCCTTTCACCCGCCCTCCAGGGAAGAGCTGAGAAAGAAAACAAAGGAAATTAGTTGTTGCCCCCAGCTAATTAAACAACATATGCACAAACCTCTTAGGGACACAACAATCCAATCCTGTTCTTAAAAAAAGGTAAATTTTATTAAAAACAAAAAGAAAGAAAATACATCTGGAACTTAGGCTTTTGCTAGATTTAAAAAACCCACTTACAAAATTTAAATATCAAGAATAACCTTCTTGAGGTTCATCTTAAAGGTTACAAGCAAAACAAAAGCATTTGGGGTTAGCACAGAGGAGTCCACAAGCCAATAAGAAATAAAAGAAATAACCGTAATTGCGTCTTTTTAGACATTCCCTGATTTACTGACACAGTTGAGGGTTCCAAATAAGTAGTTCTAGATATGATCTGATGATCTATGATCATACCTGGCTTAAAGCTTCTCATAGCATAACCGCTCCCTGTTCCTCTCTTTCCCAGAGAACCATAACACACAGACAAAGGGAAGGTTTTCCCCCAATTTTAAAAAGTTCTAGCTCTCCCATTGGCTCTTTTGGTCAGGTGCCCACTCCTTTCCTTTTTACCTGTGGGCTTGTTAACCCTTTACAGTAAAGTAAGTAGAGAACAGCTCCTAACAGGGATTTTTATAGCTAACTGGTACTTTGCAGAAATACTAAGAAATCGTAAACCAACTCCTAAGAGTTTACCATAGTTCTCCCCTGTATTTGGACTAGGAAATAATGATAAAGAGTGAACTTTCTTTTCTCCCATTTCTTTGCATGCAGAGTGATTAGAATATGGAAAGGAATGAAAAGGAAAGCCATTACCATGGAATTTAGTCACTCATAGTTGGTGCTGATCTCAAAGGGGAAAAAACAACAAACTCCTTAATGGCTCAGTCTCAAAGATATGTCAAAGCTGAACCAGTTATTTAAAAATCCCCACTGTCTGTTTCTGGCACAAATTGAAAATATAAATGGGGGTGAAATCCTCCCTTTTAAATATTTATAACTGATGCACTATGCCCACCAGCAGGGTCATAAATCATATTTGAGGATTACAAAGATCTAACTGAGGGTGTTCTTGACTTCCTTCATAAACAGTCAGAGAATATCTTTTATTAAGACACACCATGTTCCATAGCCAAATGGCAAGCTCATATAGACAGCGTTTGATGCATTGAAATAAAAACATTTCCCGTTGTGGATATCCTTAATTATGTTTGTTTGTAACATTTTAAAAGCAAGTTTCAAGTATGTAGGACCAGATCTTCAGCCATTGTAAATTGGTGTAGTTTTGTCACAAAGTACCCCAAACTTGTTGGTAGAGGGAGGCCTTTAAAATCAAATACATTGTTTTTTATGTAGTATGTGTGTTATATAAAATAAGATATTTAATGTTATTAGTATGACAAGTTTTAGATTTCTTTCTTATTAATTACAATGTGCATGAAAATCTTTTAAAAACGTGTGAAAACAAGTTGTAATAGAATCTTATTGTTTATTATAATTATAAGCTGAATCAGTGTGTTGAAACACTGAATTTCTACAAATATAGATAGTTAATTAGAAAGTGATAGACATCTGTGTGCCAGAAGCATAAACGTTGCTTGGAATGTTACTTTAATTTTCTCCTGTAGTTCCTGGCTGTAGAAACCACACTGATTGTGAATTCTGGTCTGTCACAAAAGGGCAAGGAAGCAGAGAGTGTCAAGGGCAAGTAAGAACGTACATGAGACAGATATTGAGAAAAATGGAATGGTAGGAAACAGATGTGGGAGTGAGAGTCAGTCTGAGGGCAATCTGATTCATAGATGAAATGTAAGATGTCATGAGCAACTAA